CAAACGAAAGCTGCGTGCTACCAGCCCATATTCTGCCTTGCTGCACTACATTCTGGTCATTTACAGTGAACCTACTTGGATTAGGCTCCTGAGAAGAGAGTTACTGTGATTCTAGCAATAACATGACTTAACATAACATAACATGTATGGTCAAGCCTCAAATTATTAAATCTAGTATTTCTGAATTATTTTCTCATGGTGTAAAATCCACCGCTGACATACATTTTTAATACAAATTTTGCCTTGATTGTTTTCTTGCATCTAGGTAATTAAAAACATTTGAGACCTTTTTCCCTTTTGAGTCCTTACAATTACACTCATCTCTGGCAACTTCATCAAGGAGACAATTTCATCTTTGAAATTATTTCATCTTTTGATGTTACAAAATAAAGAAAAGTATACTGTGGCATTCCAGTTTCTGTGCCAACAATGAAGGAAGTGTCATTCTCCTCCTGTGTACAAGATGACTGCCAGGTAAAGTAATCTGTAGGACTATGAAACAAAAAAGTGCTCCCCTGCCAAAAAGCAAAACATGCAGGTTTGCTTCCATTTCCTCACCCCCTACTACTGACAATCAGCCAAACAATTTTTTAAAGATCAAGCGGCTCTCCCTCAACCAAGGAAGTCAGTGACCTGCGTTTTTCTACAGCAGAATAAATTATTTGCTCTCAACACCTTTTGTTAGGTTGTGCTCTTTCTTTTAGCAAGTCTGCCCCTTTATTTTTTCAGTTCCATCAAGACAATAGGAAGCAGCACCTGATTATGCTTCTCACAATAACTTATAGACCACATGTAAAAGCTACTGCAAACTACTTAGGCTGGACCCTGTGGTCAGGAGCAATACTGACCTTATCAGATCTTTTTTCCTGGGAACTTCTAGTGAGAATATCCAGCCAGTTGGACCCTCTTCCCCAGGAACAGGCAAACACAATGCAAACTCTTTCCTCCAAACCAGGAACAAAAGAATGATGTTATTTCCTATGGTTGGTTTTGGGAGAAGTACATAGCAACAACAAATCATAGGAAAACCAAGAAACACTTATTTACTAAACCTTTATTTTAAAAAATGATTACAAAATATTGTATAAAGTTCCTCAGATCAAGAAAACATAATGTATTAAAACAAGATCACAGGTTTAGAATAATAAAAAAATATTTAAGCATTTAAAAATTAGATAGAAATTCAATGCAACACTGGAAATATATACAACATTAATGTATTCTCATCCCACTTTAATAATAATTAAAAATCACTTAAATTCTTAATGGCATTAAAAGTGACATACAGCTCTGTCCAGCATAAAATTTAATACCCAGAGAGCTGCTTATGTTTACAGCAATAGACTAAAAAAAAAGGTTAGTTCCATTCTAAAGGCACTATCAGCATCTTTATTTGTTACAATTTTATAGAATCTTTGAAAATTTCACTAAGAATTTCCCTTCCATGTAGAAAGCTTGGTATTTTATTGCACAAATTTGAACAAGAATCACCACGACAGCCATTGCTCAAGAAACATCCTTTGCTGAGCTCTGAGAATTGCGTGAGATTGCTCACTGCTCTTTCAGGTTAGAAGGTGCAAAGGCAGAACTCACCTGCAATCCTTCCCTGCTCTTTTCAAGTACAGGGTACAGGCAGTAAGGCACAATTCCTTCCCATATTCAGAACCAAAGGACACTGGTAGCACTGTGATTTTAATGTGGGCTAAACATCAAACACAAAAATTAACATTCCCAATCTAAGCAATGCCCAGTACAGATCCTCCGAGCAGAAGCTCACAGTCCAGCCACTGGACAAGTCCTCATGTATCCTGCAAAATCCTCTGCAACGATTCTCAAGGCACTGCAAAAAAGCCTTGAAAGTGGCTACAGAGCCTTAACATCGACAGGTTCAGCTGGAAAACACCAAAGCTGAGTGTCCAAGCAGGCTCCAACACCGCTGCCAAGCACTGTGGTGAAGAATGGAGAAGACAATCCCCAGACAGATGTACTAAGCCAACTGCTTCTTTCCAACAGGCTTTACTACCAGTTATGATGTACAGAGATGTTCATTTGGCCAACAGAAGACATCTGAGGCATTGTATCTAACAGCACTTCTGCCAGAGCTCCTATCACTCTCCTGAACAATCCCTAATCTGCTTAAACCAAAATCAACCACATTAATGGAAGCAATTTAAATAGCTGGTTTAAATAAGGTTGGCTGATTTCATCAGAAGCAGGCTGGGAAACAAGCAAAGGGCTTTGCTGACAGAGCATGAAGGGTAAGAGGCATCCAGCCATACACACAGAGCTCCTGCAGAACCAGACATTTAATCCAGCTCCAACAGCATTCTCTAGGATCAGTCTAATTAAGAGACAGATATTTAAAGCCAGCATCTGACACCACAGGCATCAAAGGAGCATGTCAAGACTGCAGACCAGTCTGCTCAGTCACTGCAGCAAGGAAGCCTCTCCCCCACCTAGATTGGGAGGGCAGACGACCTAGGAGTGATAAGGAAAGCTAGGATATAGGAAGCTGATAAAGCTGTTAAAAAAATAACCTAACAGAAGCAGAAAACAGCACACACACATGCAAATCTGCTTCTCAACTCTTTTAAAACAGCAAAAACACCTTATGAGGTGCAAGGATTAACAGCACTATCATGCATGTTAGCCAACAACTGGTGTGGAAGGAACATTTTAGGCAACTGCCTTAAACCTATAACCATTCTGTGACTTGCTCCCAGTATTTAACCACTGTGTGACAGACTATGGCCAGGTAAACTGCCAAGGACAGGAGATGACTTTATAGATCCCTTTCTGTATCTCCAGGAATGGACATCAGTAATACATTACTTAGGTGGGGAAAAACCTGTAAGAAAAAAACCAACCAAAACCCAGCTTCAGGCTGGAGAAACTTATCTTCAGGCTGAGAAAAATAACAGGAGAAAATACCTCAAGATAAAAGTCCATTCACAGTCCTGCACTGCTTAATAAATACTTAGCAGCACAGTGTTGCTCTTACACTATATGTAAGCTACCAATTACAGATGAAGATTTAAAGACTATAGACATTTTGATGTGGAAAAAATTCAGCAGGACTCTAGGCAATAAAAAGAAACCAAAAAAAGCCAGTTGTAATGTTAATTATTCTAGCGCAGTCCCCAGAGTAAGACATTGCAGATCATGGAGGAGATATTTCTCATTATGGATATTTTGTATCACCAGTAACACTGCTTGTAAACCAAACATCCCTAATCTATTCAGTTATCAGAGACAGCTACAGCAAGCACTGATTGAAATCAGATTTTAGTGCGAACAGACACTAATAAATACAAGGAAAAGAGAAAAAAAAACAATCCAAAGAGCATTTCTTCTTTAAAACACAGAAAATTCTATGAAGGAACGTATCTCCTCTAAAACCAAACTGTGGCTTTAACTTGGTGCTTTACACCACCTGGCAGAATTTTACATCCTCCAAGTAAAGTGTAGTGTTAGTCTTAAGTCTCAAGCTATAGAGAGAGAGAACGTCACAAAACCACACCCACCAGAAAATGGCAGCAATGGGAAAAGAACCAACTTTGACTTGTTATTACAATCCTTTGTCTTAAAACAGCTTCCTCTTCCTTTTCCAAATACAGCTCAGCCAGTTTCTGGGGGGATTGGTCTCAATGCTGCCACAACAAGTTACAGGACTGGGAACATGCCAGATTGGGATATCAGTGAAATGCAGTTAACGCCTGCAAACATGGGAGACACGGCAAATGTCTCAAGCACTCAAACATTGTCAGCTTTTTCTCATTTGCTTTGGTATTTTAGAATATCTCCTGGCTTACAGTCATTTGCCCTGCTTTTGAAGGCTTTCCTCTTAAGAGAGGCAGAGCAGTCTTGCTTTTACCTTAGACATCAGAAAAATACTTTTTTAGCACTTCATTTCTTTCACAGCCATCAACATCTGGTCTGACATAACCGTCACTTGTCCGATACATGTCCCATCAATCATGTTCCTTGCAGTCCTGCAGACTGTTGTTTGCAAAACAAATCAAGGGGACAAGTGCTTATTTACCTGTTTACCAGCTGAGCTAGTCAGCAGCAAGGAGTCTCAAGCTACTGCAATATTTATAAACACAGAAAATGGTGAGGCTCAAAACCATTCTGGCAAAAGTTAGCAGTATCTACACATACACAAGCTGCATATGGTATTAACATTGCAAGTAATATTCACCAGGGTAGAATCAAAGTACTGTAAGGTTCTTTCCTTACTGATACTCAGATTGCTACTTCTGGGGTTGCTTCATGCAAAATACTTTATCTTATTCCTCTCACTGCTGGCTTTTCAAGTTTCTTCCTGCAACTGTTAGAGCTTTCAAAACCATGTGAAAGAAGATTCTGGCATACAAGTGCAAACTTTGACAATCATGGGGTGTAAAACTGTCTCCTCAATATACCATTTACATTACCTTCCCCATAAACCCCCTACAGTCACTATACCATTAAACTGATCTCCACAGACAGAACTGAGACATAGGAATAGGAAAAACAACCCAAAACCCCTTACTTAATGATAAACATTCCTCTAAATTCCAGTTAGGTATCCCTTTTGCATTCAGTTTGACCAGGAAGTACAAAATTAATTGTGCTGTGCTAATTTTTAACTCACAACAGAAACATCTGGTCCATTTAACCAGAAAATATCTTTAGGTTATAGCTCAGAATTTATGCCTCAGACATTAACCTTTATTAGTCATATCTGTCAAAATCAAATCAGCACACTGGTGTCCTGAAGTTATTCTGCTTAGACCCAAGGTTTTTTAGTGGCTGTCACCCCAGCGGGTGGCAGGACCAGTTACCTTAGAACATGATGCTCAAGATGCCATTATCTGACCAAGAATCCATAAAAATTTGTGATGAGCAATGCATACAAAATTGACTAGAACAAAGAAACAGAAGTTGTTACCTACAGTGCACTGAAAGTTCATTTTAGTTTGCTCCAATTTAAAAAAAAAAAAAAAAAAAAGAAACAATTTCAGGAAGTTAGCTTCGTTTATTCAATGGCTGATTTTCTGTGGCACTCGGAGTGTTACCAGGATTTTCAGGGCGTCCACCAGTGTTTTGTTTTCGCTTGAGATAGATCTCTATACCAAATTCAGCTGCAAAGGCAAAACTTGCAAAAAATCCAAATACCTGTGAAAAGGACAGAAATATGTGATTTTAAAATGCATAAAGAGTAATAGCATTCTAACATTGTTTGGAAAGATTCACTGTACCATTTTATATACATTAATAACGCTTACTGTTAAGATTACAGTCCTCCTTAAATTGATAGTTCCATTCAAATTAGACACAGATCAGAAATCATAATTCTAGCACATTCATTGCAGAAGTTTTTACAGCTTTCATTCTTTTAATGAAGTGCGAACCTCATACTGTGTTCTAATCAACCTTTAACAGCAAAAGTATATTAGTTGCATTGCCAAAATCAGTTACTAAAGTAGCACAGCATATAGCAGACTATTTATCCAAGGGAGGGCTGCTGATTAATGAAAGTAAATGAAGAAGAATAACACACAGAAGGTGAAGGAAGAGAAGATCTGCAGAGCCTGTGTCAGCAAGGGAGAATGAAATGACATTTTGTGAATGATATTTTGTTACCAGACACGGCACGATGAGAAGTGATAAAGAGAAGGCAGCTTTTTTCAAACAAGGAAAGAAACATATGCATTATTCCAACTCTACCTAAATTATACACAACTGGTTTGGACCAAAGTGATTTGACATTAATAAGTATTAAATCACAGTAGATTTTTTTTTTTTTCTGTATGAGAGAAAAAAAAAACAACAAAGCTGACACCTGATTTATGCTCAAACTGTAAGGTCTAAATAGATCTACATCAAATAAGATGACTACACAGAAGTGTGTATCTCTAATAGCGGATGCTGCCATGGAACAGAATTATCTCGCTTTCTTTTCCAAATCATTTTTTCTCATTCAAGAATTCAATCTTTTAAACTCACATGTTCACAATTCCAAGGTTATTCAAAAGAAGTATTCAAATGACTAGGGAATTATTATATCTACAGCATTCCAAAAGCCCCTTTAGTGCCTTGCCCCGAGTGTTCCCTAGGAGATGAATGCCCTGTTGCTCTACTATTTCTGTCACTGAGGAAACTGCTGCTCTTACTGCAGTTGTGCAAGTCCGTGCTGCCCACATATGCTCTGTAAAAGCAAAAGACAGGATTTCTTGACTTTGTGAGGGGGTGACATTATGAAAGGACAGTTGAAGAAAACCAGAAATTTCAGAAGTAGTGTATCAGAGAACTGGGCAAGCTTCAAGAGATGACAATGTTGAACAGCAAGAGATGACAGGAAATAATACAAATCCAAGGCAGCATGCAAAAGGTGGGGAGCTGCAAGGGCACAGAGAGCTTTCCAGGAATCCAGAGGAATGCCAGCTCTTTGGATTTCCTGTGGTAAGTTTCTGGAAGATCTGCTATAGCAAATTCCTCCTGAAACATCACAATGCACAGAGTTCATTTCCCAGTTTCTTCTCTGCAAATTGAGTGAAGTTTAGAGGAAGACAGAGAAATTAACATACAAATAACATACCAGATAAATACAAAGTAAATCTTGCCATTTTAAGACTTACACATGCAGCAATTTCAACAGCAGAGTCAGCGGAGGTTGCAGAAAACACTATTGATGCTAACAGAAAACAGGCACCTATGAGTAGCACAGCCCAAAAATTCTGCAAATATATATATAAAAACATATATAATTTAACTGTAGACAGATTACCTAAAAAGAACAAACATAACAACAGCTGAGTTAACCTGCCGGTGAATTTATGTTTTGATACTTTGATGCTAGTGGAAGCTTCAGAAAATACATTTTACAGCTGTATTCTAAATGACATTCAACATTATCAGCTATTTAAAGGAGTCTGCCCTGTTTTTGTATTTTTAAAATATTTAATTACTTTAATTTAATCAAATTCATGCTCAGGACAACTATGGTAGCTTTATTCCTTATGTAAAACATTTAAGCAATCAGAAAACTGTAAGTAAATGTGCTCATTCAAACCTTTTACTACACTCCCTTATCTGTACCCTCACATCAAGACACTACTGTTTGTTCTGAAGGTACATAGGAAGGGACACTTGTGAGATGGTATAATGCTCCTGCTGACTTTACAGAGCAACTTTCTCCCACTGCTGGATCTTCTGAAGTATAAAGCCATAAACTGTAATGAGTTATGATATTATTGCCAAAAAGGAGATAGTCTACACCCAGTAGGAAAATAGATAGGGTAAACTTTTTAATTTTTTTTTAATTGCAAGCATAATGCTGGTAGTAAACTATATTCCATATGTATACAGATCTGCGATGGCTATGCTGTAGTATTAGTACTTTAATGCACTAATGTACATTAATGGAAAGACTTTTCCACACAAGTCCTAAAATCCTGCAGGTAGACAGCTTTGAAAAAGGTGTTAGTATAAACTCTCAAAGTTGGCTCATTTTTAAACTATAAGATACTTTAATCTACCATTTACATGGAGAAGAAAAGGAGATTCATTTTGCATAGGCTTTTTACTCCACAGCAGACTTTATGCACTTAGAAAAAATGGTTTGTTTTTTAAAAAAAAGTTTTCTTACCAGTTTCTGCACTTTATCTTCCCCCAGTGATTCATAAAATTTAGTGCTATACACAGACAGAATCAGGAGGCTCAAAAGAAAGGCACTGCAGCTTGTGAATTCAAAAAAGTAAAGTCCACTACAAGTGATGCAATAGTCCACAATTTCTTCACAAACAACAGCCACAAAAGAGAAAATCTGCAAACAAATAACATGCTTGAATTGGATCAAATCTCTAACATCTTCAACAAACAGACACCTCTGATACGAACATTAATAAACTAGCTGTAACAAAAATTCTCAATCTACAAAAAGTTTCAAGTTCTGCACTATATTAATACAGACAGAAATAATTATACAATGACATGGTTTACACTTGGCTGTTAAGGTGGTCCATAAAACACACTCAGATAAGCTGAGCACACAGCAAAACAGAGGCTTCTTGATTAGACAGACAAGATTCCTGTATTGTGGGTTTGTGCAACTGCCAGTTTGAAGCAGAAGGGAGAATACACATCCTGCAAAATGCTGCTGCTTACTACATACAGCTGCACTCAGTTCTGAATGTATCTGGGTTCAGGGCAGTGGGGGAAACTGGACAGCCCTGACACACTCAGCTACCTCCCTCAAAGTTCACAGCTGATGTTACCTCACTTGATAAAACTTCAGAGAAAGTCCATGAACCCAACACTCACATGCTTGTGACCCAGTAATGATGGAAGCTCCACTGCTCTTGTAGGAACTGAAAGTTTACACTATGTTCAAGCTATGTAGGAAATGTTCAATTCATGCAGAGGTTTATCTTCACCTTCCTGCCACAGTGTGTTTTGAGAAAAGAACGTAACTTACTTCCTATACAATCACCATATCCCTGCTACTGGATTTTCTACTGTTTTATTGTACAATAAAGAATATGGCTTTATTTAACTGTTCTTTTATTTTGGCCACTTCTTGCTAGTTTCCTCCATCCCATAAATAGCATTACTTCCTTCATCACATGGCATAGCTTCAGAGATCTTCGCAGTAAGGAGTTCAAATTGAAACAAAACCATGAGCAGGAATCAGCCTGGATCATAAAATTGAGACTGATATGAGAATGATGATCATATTTTTAGTAAAAGCATGTGGGCAATGAAGAGGTCAACAGTTCTTTGTTTTTAAAAAAAAATAAATTTAAGATTCAGAATTTCAGAATTGTTCTTGGAAAATAACCAACAGCTTTTGGTTTCAGTTTTCTCACAGTAAAAACAAGAACAACAATTTAGCAGTAGGAAGTGTAAATTACCCTTACTAAAGCCAGGTCTCAGAAGAGAACTTCAGAGAACCACATTTTGGAAATGCAATAATATAAAGTAAACAGGAGCTCAGAAAGAATGGGAGCTGGGAAACATCAATATTACTATCAGGCCTCCACATGCTTCCTTTCTCTCTCACAGTGGCTGGCAACACAAACTTCTCAGCAGCCCTTGCACCTAAACCACTGAACTACAGTGTCAGACTGGGAATGTTTTAAACTCTGACTTTACAGTTTTTATGGTTTTGGTTTTTTTTGGGTTTTTTTTTTTTTTTTCATTCCTAAACTTGGGCTTATAGCTGCATCCAATTACTTTCAATTTCACATTTTTCACTAGGTCAGCTGTGAGATAGCACTGTACATAAAAACTTCTCTTGTTTTATAAGCACTGGAAACAGCAGTCATCACTTTCACTTGAGTTGAAACAGAACAGAAAGAAAATAAACCTGTCCTTAAAAGAAAGTATATGTCCAGATAGACATATGATCTAAATAAATGAAAAAAGCTTCTCCACTGAGTGTACAAACAAGTTGAAAAAAATCCCACTCAAAGAGCAGTTATAAAGGGTTCAATGTCAAATAATTGAGATTTACCAAGTAGAATCCTGTGTGGGACTTGTGCAAGACAACATTAGCTTTTTTTATTAATAATTTGAGTAATAAAATAGGGTACATCAATTAAAAAAAAAAAGTTGGCTTGAAGAACTTTCAGTAAGTGCTTTGATTCAGTAAATGTATCAGCAGCACATTTATGAGATGCCAGAGAGCTCTGCTTGGGTTTCTTAACTTGCTGTTTGATATCACGATCAGGAAAAAAAGGGATTCCTCTGCTGTCCTACTACCACCAAAAAAGTTTTAAATACCAAAAGCATTGTTGGAGAAGCAGTTGTTTTGGATTTTTTAATTTTGTTATCAGTCCTGTCTGTATGTACACCAGAAATCAAACATCTTCGTCTGTCTCGTGCCAGCAAGAAATTATTAATTGATACTGACATTACTGTTGGAAGTTTCTAAACAAATGTCAATTTTATAAAGAAGATTTAACAAGTGAACTGCTACAAAAGAATTTAACAAACTAATTGCTACAAAAATAGAGCACATCAATGAACTTGCCAACAATCCTGTGAAGATGCTCACCAGTGGGATTTCCAGTACAAAATCTCCTAGTTCAGATGGGTGCACATATTAATTCTCTATTAAGTCTGCACAATTCAGGCTGCTACAGGACATTAACAGCTCAAAAAGGAGCTGATTTTTAAGCCTGAATTACAACTTTCCTTTCCAGCTAGGGCATTTTGACTCGAGTTAAACAATAGTTGATGACAACTTGTCCTGCTTTAGGTAAGAATTAGCTTCTACCTCAATCTTGGCACAATACACAGTGTGCCCTTTACCTTTGTGCTGAATTTGAACCAGTCATGGACTAACAAAAACATTCCACCTATTAAAAAAATACAAACAAACAAAACAACATCCTAGAAACCTGTGCAATAACATGCCTCCCAGCATCCTTTTGGCACTCAAATTTGTGACTTCTAGAAGTAACATTTTCCTTGTTTCATTTGCTCAAAAGAACTGGCTTCGGTTACAGTATATGCCATTATTCATCTGAAGGAAAGTATTTCTTAGGTCTAGAAGCCAGTTTTCTCCAGATGATTTCAGAGTGTTTTACAAAACCTTTGATCACCTCTACAATGAACAGAGCCCACTTTCTGATAGCAACACCCTGTTTAGCAGTCTACACAAGCAATTATCAGGGCATAATCCCAGTAACAACCACTGTTAAAACACAAAGCCAGAAGTTAATGACCATCACTGACATTTCCAAAAATCAAGACTTTCCCAGAACAGGAACCTTCTTACTGCAGGGATGGAGGCTTCCACCTTCAGGACTTTCCGAGGCTTATTTAAAGTGTTTTGACCCAGACCTCAAGATCTCTGCATTTTGATAAAGGTTACAAAAAAGAAGGGGAAAATGTTGGAAATTAGGAGGGTGAACAACTATAACTCCATTTTCTTTTTCCTCTCACTGACTAATAGGATCAGGCCATAAACTGCTACTTATTTAAGAACATGTGAACATCCTGTTTAGGATAATGATAATTTTTCTTTTTTTTTTCTCCTTAGAAAGCATTTTAAATAATTAAACAGCTTAAGGCTTTGGTAAAACAGTAAATTTGCCTACATAATCACTTATTTTATTTTAGTCAATTAACCTGTTTATATAAACATTCTGCTTGTCAGGGAGCAGAACCCAGCAGATCTTGCTTTATTAATCTCCAGTAGATGAATTAGAAGTTTATGTCCCATTTTATTTGTTTAATGCATTCTTAGGTGTGATTTTTTTTTAACACTCTTAGAAAACTTTATTTTTGGCAGTGTTACCACTTTATGAACACTAAAGAATATTACATTTCTGGTTGAAGGTTTTGACTGTGTGCGAGATGAAGCTTAAAACCCAAATGTCCTCTTTTCTGCAATGGTGAAGTTACCGCGAAAGGGCTGGAAATCACCTACAATTCCTGTAAGCATGACACATCTGATTGTGTTGGCTGCAAAATGCAGGCTGACACACATTTGCAATCAGCCACCCTTTACCACGAGTTTCACTCATTCCCTGCTAGTAAGTACATAAGGATGCTCCTCACATCCTTATCAGCAGTCACACTGGTACATTTTGGAAGAGCTTGTCACCAAACACTGAACAGAACCTTGCAACAAAAGCCCAACTGCTTGATTCAGAAACAATTTGTATAAAAGGCAGAAAACAAGCTTTTTATTTCCGGATGGGCCCAGGGCTGCCTGACATGATGTCTCATGCAATGGGACATCACGATTACAGGTTTCTGGTGCAATTTTCTACCACAAATCATGGAAGAAATAGGCTCCTTAAGTTTAGTATGGACAGCACAGACTGTCAGGCTTAGAATGGGCTGTAGGAGCAGCAAGAGAGGAAGGTCTGGAGCTCATGACCCAGCAATGCCCTTCCCAGTCCTACTGCCCTATGGTGAGGTTCAACCAAAGGCTTCTTACTCCTGTTTTCACCCAACCCGGCCCTCAGAATAAAGCACTACATTTCCTGCGAGGCTTCCCTCTGATTTTGAGCCGGGGCGGGTGGTGTTTAAGGCCAGCAAGCAGCTGGACCACGGCGGCTGCAGCACCGAGCCTTGGGCACACGACGCCGGCACCATCCGAGGTCAGTACCTACTCCTGCAGCTCGGGCATGAGGCAGGAACACTCCCACCGCTTCCCCACAATACACCCCTTTGAACCAGCATTACAAGGCACCACGCCAGCTTTCCATGAGTTACAGGTCTGCACAACTTCAGCGACCCCATGGCACGTCACAAGTCAGGACACCTTCCCGGCGGAGCCAGCCCTTTCCGACCGGCAGAATCCATTCCCTCGAAGCCCGTGCGCGGCCATCTCCCCAGCCTGCTGCGGATCACCGAGGAGTTAATTTTTAAGCGGCAGGGGACCTCGTAAAGACGAAGGTCCTCACAACTCGCTCGTTTCCATGCCAGAGCGGGGCACCTCCAGCCCCGCCGGGTTCAGCCCCGGGAGACTGCAGGTCTCTTCCCGGCCCGGGCGGCCATCCCGCCAGCGGCGCTCGCTCCGCGCCAGCCCCGGCAGGGGGGCACTCACCGTCTGGACCACCTTGACCGGCAGCCGCCACCCCCGCAGGTGCCGCAGGGTGCAGCCCAAGGCGGGGCGGCGGGCCGCCTTCGCCTCCGGTTCCGTGGTCTCGTTGTAGACGGCGCCGTTCTCCATGGCCGGGCCGGGCCGCCGGCGGCCAGATGGAAAAAAACGAAAGAAAAAGGGCGGCAGGCGGGACGTCGTTGCCTCCGGTGCCCTGGTCTTTTTGTAGGCGGAGGCGCTCTGCCGGGGCGGGCCGGGCCGCCGGCTCCCAGCTGGAAAAAGCCGCGAGAAGAAGGGCGGCAGTCGGCGGGACGCCTCCGGTTCCGGGGTCGCGTTGTAGGCGGAGACATTCTCCCTGGGCGGGCCGGGCCGCCGGCTGCCGTCTGGGAAAAGCCGCAAGAGAAAGGGCGGCAGTCGGCGGGACGCCTCCGGTGCCCTGGGCTCGCTGTAGGCGGAGGCGCTCTGCCGGGGCGGGCCGGGCCGCCGGTTCCCGGCTGGAAAAAACCGCGAGAAAAAGGCCGGCAGTCGGCGGGACGCCTCCGGGTCCGTGGTCTTGTTGTGGGCGGCGCGGTTCTCCATGGCCGGGCAGCCGGCTGTCAGCTGGGAAAATCCGAAAGCAAAAGGGCGGCGGGCGGGACGGGAGCGGGAAGGGGAGAGCCCCGGGGAGCCCGGGGCCCCGGGGGGCTGCGGTTGCACCGGCCGTTGGGCCGGCGGCACCGGGGCGCTCCCCCTGGCGGCCGCGGGCGGGAGCGTGAGGGACCGCGGGGCCGCCTCAGGCCCGGGCTGGGCTCAGTTCGCCAGCCGGGGCTTGGCAAGTAATTTTTACACGAGTATTCACTTGTCACACGAGATTACGGTATCAAAAGAGGGGTTTAAGACAAAGCTTTCCCTGGTTACATTCACATAATTAATTAGGTTGGAAAAAACCTCTGAGATCATTGAATCCAGCCTGTGTGCACCTGAGTGCCACATCCAGTCTTGCATTAAACACCTGAAGGGATGGTGACTCTGTCACCTCCTTGGGCAGCCCATTATAGTGTCTAATCACTCTTTCTGTGAAGAAATTCCTCCTTATGTCCAACCTAAACCTCCCCTGGTTGCTGCTTGAGGCTATGTCCTCTTGTCCTGTCATGAGTTGTCTAAGAGATGATCCCGACCCCCATCTTGCTACAACCTCCTTTCAGGCAGTTCTAGATATCTGTAAGGTCACCTCTGAACCTCCTTTTCTCCAGGCTGAACAACCCCAGCTGCCTCAGCTGTTCCTCACAGGACTTGTGCTCCAGAGCCTTCACCAGCTCAGCTGCCCTTCTCTGGGCTTGTTCCAGGACCTCAGTGTCTTCTGAACTGAGAGGCCCAGAACTGGACACAGCACTCAAGGTGTGGCCTCACCAGTGCTGAGTACAGGAGAAGAATCATTGTCTTTGAAGACATTCCTTGTCAATGAGAGAAAACACTCATATCACCAAGTGGAAGATTGCTACAGGTTGAAAAAAGAGGAGATTTGCTTGCTTAACAGTAGCTGTATAGGAACAGATTCCCTGCTTAGGGAACAGGTCAGGCTGTTTTGATACTGCTTCTCTTTGGGAAATGCACAGTGCAATGGGAACGTGTGTGCTACAGAACTCCATGAGGCTGGGGCTACTTTTAACTCTGCCAGGACATCCCCTTAACTGGGAAGATGCAAAAGTATGGGCCAGACCAAAGCAGCTGGACCACACTCCCTGCTGAATGTGTACCAGCAAGCCGTGTGCCTTCTTCTGGTAAGAAAACACAATCCATGGGAATCCACAGTGTCCCTCTGCAGGATCATACAGACCTGTCACTGCCAAAAACAATGTTTGGCTGCAGGAATTGGCTTGGGAGGCAGATGAGTAGGGCAAGTCCTGTGATTCCCAAGGTTTAGGTGTTTCCACTAAAACAAATGAGGTTATCACCATGGGTGTGCCCCAGTTTATGCCTGGGATTAGGGTGAGTGTAATACAGCTCTGTTGGCAGCATCCCAGACTACAGGACTGAGCAGGTAGGTGTAGTCAGGAACACTTGCTGTTACCGCTTATAAGTTCCCAGTGCCTTCACTACATTTTTTCACACTAGTACATTATAAATTAGATTACATTTTAGAAGCTGGCATCTCTCTTCTGAAGGAAATTTCCTTCTTGTTTTCTTCCTTCACAATATTTCACAACTGGCTGAAGAACTCAAAGCCACAAAGCATGTGTCTAGCATATAATGTGGTCTGACAGAGACAGGACTTAACCAAGATAGAAGCAGCTGTCCAGTCTTTTAAGATGTTCAGCAGCATCTAAGACTTCCCTTATGAGTCTTTAGAATGCTTTCATGCAGCACTGCTAGATTATGAATACAGATGTTAGTGCTGAAGACAATTGTCTTGAGGACATACTGCTTTTCAAGGAGCCACAGAAACACAAAACAAGACTACAAAAGATAAAATAGATGGTGATCTCTTTCCAGTTTCTGCCATCTTTAAGCTGGTTTTCCCATTCAGGCACTCTCCAGGAAATACATATAAACAATGCATGAATAATAAAGGTTAGCTTGCCATTTAAAGCCTAACTTATTGAGGCCAATTTTTTTCTTTTTTTTTTTTTTTTAAGAAGCTAAGGAAAAGCAAAACTACAGCAAAGCTAGGGAACTGTAAGGTCATGTGACAGAGAAGGAATGAAAACTGGACAACAGCATAGGAGTTGATATCTTGAAAATGCTTAAAGCATTACATTATGCTGTTCTTCACAGAGGTACAGCAGGTGTTCTTCACCCTTTTTATCACACTAACTTTCCAGTACAGTAATCTTCCTTTAAAGAGGGAATTAAAACAGCAGTTACTGTAATTAACAATAGGGTTTAATGCAAATAACAGTAACTGACTGACTGTGATGTGATGTGATGGAAATCCCATTTCAGGTATACAGCTATTAATTTCCTTTTGGTTATGTGCTACACCTGACAGTTTTCCAGAAAATTAAGTCTTTCTTTCCCTGCCACAGCCTCTGCTGGACTGGCAGGAGCAGAACTAAAGGCGGGACATGGTGGCAGAGAATCAACCTCATAGTTAGATGCTGAGCTGTGGTAACATCTCCAGTCAGTCAGGCACAGAGAGAGACATCAGTGGAAGCAGATTAGTGATGAGTGACCTAGTTTTCTCCCTCATTACATCTCCAAGACACCCTCCATACTGACCAAAAAGCAATACCAATGGAGAAAGCCCCCTCACTAGAGGAGATGGCAGTGTACACAGTATAGCTGTGTTACAGTTGCTACGTCTCGCCCCCATGTTGAAATAATTTCAAAAACTGTGACTAGAATTCCTTGAAACAGTTGAGTAAATGCCACTACTGCAATAAGAGGGCTTCAGGACACAGCTGCATTGCTGTTTTCATCAAGTGAGCTCCAGTGGCTCTTTGGCATGCTCTGTGCGCTGTTATAATGCAACACTAAAGCCTGAGTCCCTTGCACTCAGAATTGGCAGCACTGGCCTCACGAATTCATGTTCTCCTTTTCTCACTTTCAAAAATGCAGTTATGGGGTTTTTTGCTTTTCTTGCAGAAGGCAAGGAGCAGAAAGTAGAAAAATGGGAAAGCAGCTTCGAAGCCCAAACCACTGAAAGAGACAGACTTAAGTTTCATTGGAAGAGTGATGAGGAAAAGGAAGAAGTGTGTGTTACTGCACAATTCAGAGAGCTCCACTGAAGACAGCCTGTCTGAGGCACAACTCCCTCCTTCATTTTAATGTTCTCATGTGGGCATCTCAGCATATTCTGTTATAGACTATCCCCATGTATTACATGAAGTAAATACAGGATGATTAGCTAGCAAATTGAATATTCCAAGTACTGCAACAATGAGCTCAAAGAAGACCTGAATATGTTGCATCTACTGAACTTTCTTTAGCTCCTGAGGCTCTATTTTTGTGCTCAATATTGCAACTGAACTTCACAAACCATGACACCACACTAAACAAGCTCGAATGTGTGATTTTTAAACAGCTGAAGATGAAGAATTACCATTTTTAACAGCTATTACTAAGTATCCCTTATGGCACTAGAGATGAAATCCCCACACTTTCCAAATGCAAGCTTAGGCCAACTCTTCTCAGTGGTTTTCTGCATGCATCTGCATGGCACAGAGAAGCATTAAGCCATGAGGTGTTTAATAGGCAACAGTTCTGCTGCTGCAGGTGTCCCACTGCAAACTGTTTGCTCCCCAAGAAGAGACTGCAGCCCAACAGGCAGAAATTCTTGCATTTCAGAAGTATCACTAGAAATTTAAGGTTAATATAGTAGCTAGTCCATAAAACCTAAAAGCCATGTGCACATTCCAGAGATTGCCATTTTCAGCTGAAAAATATGACCTGCCTGGAAATAAAGTGGACATTTAGTCAAAAATTTCAAGATTAAAGTTTGCAGAGTAGCTTTATTGGAACCAGTATACTCAAAAGAACTGACATGAGAACAAGATAGAGAAGGAGGAAGAGATTTACCAAATTCCCCTGAAACCGTTTAGTTTCAGTCTGATCAGCAACTTGTCTACATTGAAGTAGCCCTGAAAGTCTAAAGGAATTTGATTTTTTTTATATTGTAGCATTTTTTCAGTGTTCATACTGAAAATAATTTAAAAGTATTGTTATTAAAATTGTGCCCTGTAGTATCATCTCTTTGCTTTCTGCATCTTATGTGCTAATCTGAAACTTTGTACCCAACAGCACTAAAGGTACAGAAGGGTGATTGAGAGCAAAATTAATGTAATTCATAATGTCACTCTTTCAAAAATTGGGGTAATCCCAAACCTAACCCCTCCCCAGCATAGAACAAGAAAGTATTCTTGCCAAATTAGCTTCAGTGTTTCACCCAATTTATTTAGTTTCGTGCTTGACTTGATGGTGAAAGAAGGAAAACAGGGAGCAGGGTTTACTGGCACTACTTTTTATGAAAAGGGATGTCTGTCACAGAGACTAATTTTGCATGATAGTTGTGGTGAATCCCATCTTAATTGTCTACTCTCACCAAAACAGTAGCTGGGGGAACTGCAGCTCAAGAGGATAAAGCAACCAGCCCAAGAGACTTGGTCTCATCAGAGAGAAACAAGAAGCCAAAGACATAAGGTTACACAGAAATATTTTCAGGTATTTTCCTTTGGTGGTAAATTTTGCCCCCAGACAGCATAAGCAGACTGCAGATAGGAAGTGACAGCATTAAGAGACTTTGAAGGAGGTAAGCAGGCTACTTTAGTCTTTTAGAATGAAAAGGCATGGTAGGGGACAGTCTTTGTGTCAATATGCATTCGTAAATAATAATTGAAAAATCAAAACAATCACAAACCTCCAAACTTAGAGGGGCTTAGGGAAAACCATATTTAGAAGCTTCAAATACAGAGAAGTGACATCTGTTTTGAGAAGTGAAACTATAATGAGTAATTTGTAAGGTTTTCCCCTGTCCCAGCCTCCCCAAATAAGGGCACCTGGTGTAATAGCTATTAATGCATTATATGGCCAATTTTCCAGCTTCATAAAGGGTTTTGTGCTTTGACAGATGCTCAAATGAACTAACTTAGAGACTACAGGAGTTGTCTTTCAAAAATATGGACAGTATCCACTAGTTTAAAATGTTGCTGTTAAAATCCAGTTTCACCCTAATGACACATACCACTGCAGTTGTGTGAGAACAGGTTCTGCTTTCATCATCAGAGGATCTTTTCTCTCAAGCACGTTCCAAATTTGGTTTCAAGTTTACATACTGAACCTAGAGACAACTTACTATGATACTGATGTGTGGCATGCAGCCATAATTAGAAGCCTAATTTTTTCTTCCAGACAATTTATTCTATACAGCTGTTCATCAGCAGGTCATGCATTTCCCCATGTGTCACCTTTACTGAACTGTTGACCTAAGCAAAATTTTAAGGACTGCAGTTGAAGATATACTTAAAATTATCCACTGAAACTTCTCAGTCCACAATTCAATCTTCTATTTTAAAAAGTGTGCTTGAGGGAGCTAAGTGCACAGCAAGACAAATGTTGTTCTTCAATAAATTTAGGTATTTCGAAAATACGGAAATAACTCAGGTAAAGGGAGGTGATCCTGCCCCTCTACTCAGTCCTAGTGAGGCCACACCTGGAGTGCTGTGTCCAGTTTTGGGCTCCTCAAGACAAGAGATATGGAGCTCCTGGATCAGGTCCCAGGGAGGAGAACAAAGATGATTAAGGGAAGTGAGCATCCCTCTCACAAGGAAAAGCTGAGAGAGCTGGGCCTGTTCAGCCTCTGGAAGAGATGGCTGAGTCGCGACCTCATTAATGTCTGCCAGTATCTAAAAGCGGGGTGCCAATGGAGCCAGGTTCTTCTTGGTGGTGCCCAGCAATAGGACAAGAGGCAACAGCCCAAAAGTGATGCACATTAAGCTCTGCTGTAATGTGAGGAACATTTTCACTGTGCAGATGACTATGCACTGAACAGATTGCTCTGAGAGACTGTGGAGTCTCCCTCACTGGAGATATTCAATAACTGTCTGGACACAATCCTGTGCCATGTGTTTTGGGATGGCCCTGCTTGAGCAGGGAGGTTGGACCAGATGACCCCACTGTGGTCCCTCCCACCCTGACCCATTCTGTGAATTCACCAGAACCACTACAGAATGCAGGAACTGGGGAAGAAGAGTACCACCATGTTCAAAATAGAGAGATTTCTAACTAATCAGAGAAATTAAGACTGATTTAAAAAAAAACAAAAACCAAAAACACAACTAGAAAACCTGAACTCATTAAAATGTCTTGGCAATCATTTCATCAGGCTATATCTTTTACATTTCCTAGTCTGAGGCTCTAAGTAGAAAGTAACCACAAATTTCACAGAGGAAAAAGTGATGTTCAACATTTATGTACTGAAAGCTTGTAAAGTCCTAACCTTGGTTTAACTACTACTGAGGCAACACACTGCAGCCAGCAGCAGGATCCTTAGTCTAATGAGTGTGCTCTGAAAACACTGCAGCAAAAACCACCCAAGTCAGATAAGCAAGGTTCACTCCCAGGAACAAACACTGCAGATTTATCCCCTTCCTTCCAGAAACAATGTTTTAAGGAAGTTTAAATATCTGCCACTGATGTTATTCACTGAGAGGTAAAAATATAAAAGTATGTTTCAAGATGTTTTATACCACATCCTTAGACATAACTGTAAATGAAGAACACCATGGCTTCAATGAAAGTTACTTAAATTTGAATGCAGAGAATACTTTATTAACTGATTACAGTTTTGATGACCAATTTTAAACCATAAGTAGTGTGGGAAACATAGTGGGGGACATTAAGGCTGAGCCATATATATATAGACAAATCTGGATACTGATATTCTGTACATTTAACCTCTGCTTTTTCTTTATACATCTTTTATTCAGTGTCCGCAATTAATCAAAGAGGAACAAAAAAAAAAAAAACCCGGCCACTAATTTAGTCTTACACCTGGAATTAATTTTTGCATGGGTTTTTCAATGCAGTGTAAATTTCAGTGGAGATTAAACAGATTTTTTAACCATATTCCAATTAAGTTTTTAAGTATAACTGGAATTTGTTGCTATTACAGATTCGTGCAATTATTTTTCTCTTTCAAAAACTAGCAGTAGTTCTCTCATGTAGAGGTTAATCTATTTAAGATAGTATTAAACTTACCTAACAGATTGGGAAATCAATATAAATTAAGTGCCTGTGGTGTGTATCAGTTTTCTTGCTCTAAGCAACCCCTATCACTTAAGTGGACATACTTGCAATTTAACAGAATTACACTGACTTTCCAACAAAACCCAGGAAAAAAAATTAATTTACTGTTTTTGCACTGTGAGCAGTGCTTCTACACAATGTGATAACCATTCTTCATCTGTATAGCTCCCTTTTGTAAAGTTGGGCAACACATATAAAAGAAAGACAGACATCAATGGTTTGTGTTCTGAAAGATATTTCAGTTCTTTAGTTCCAGTCACTGAAGGAAGAGGCAGAGGCAACTTTGAATTATCCCAGAAAACTGAACAATTTGTTTTATTTGGTGTCTTCAAGATGCTTCGCCTTCTGTGGGAGATGTAGATGATGTAGGAGAGACCATTTCAGGTTTTCGTGAAATTCTGTCCAATTCTGCCTGAACATCTGTTAAAACTGGCTTCTGACCTACAAAATAAATGTGTATCATTCAGTCATGTTTATGAAAAGCCTATGGTATCTTCAATTGTCAAATCAGACAAATCCTAGTAAGTGTTACTGCCTGCTTTGGGTGCACAATTTAAGGCATAAGGCCAAAACCCAAAAGAAACAGAAAAGAAACAGTAGCAAGGAAGTAATATCCTTTCATATTTCTGAAAAGTTGAAGTATTAAATAAAGAAGACTATTAAGACTAGCAGTTATAACTACTTCTACACAATTTTTTGTATAATTTGTATTTGAAACAATGCTGAATGTAAAAATCAGGGGTTTCACCAAGCCCAGCAAAGTCAATTTTGTGTACTTGGTCAGCATAAACTTGACACCACTGCTTATGGGTGCACACAGACTTGCAGATGGCAAAACCTTTTCTTTCTTCACCCAGTTATCTCCTCCCTAACATATAGGCACAAACATTTGTGCAGCCACACTCCAACCTAATTCAAGCTCAAAACACACCATTTCCCCCCACCCTTTTAATTCCTACTCCTCAGTCCAGGTTTCTATCCCACTATGTCCTATAGAAAGAATAGAGGAGACAACATGGGAAAAGGCAGTGCAGGATTAGGACTCCAACACTATGACAAGAGTGCACAGCATCTGTTCTCAAAGAATGTTCTGATGCATGTGCAGTTGTAGTAGTGTCCCAGCATCCTTTCTGAAGATGCAAATTAACAGGAACTAGCCATAAAGGTAATTTTGGCCAGATGTACTTTGCTGCTCTTCAAATCATTTAACAAAAGATAATACTGTATTAGAATCAAAGCAGCTAACATTCCAACTAATAAGCAGAGGAATTTCCCAAAGCTGCTGAGGAAAAAGTAATTCTCAAATTCCAAACTACTGTCTTAACAGACACTTTTCAGATTTTAAGAGTGAGTCCCACAGATACCACTAAATACAAGACAGCAAACACTGAGGAAGGTGAAGAGACCACATCTAAGCAAAATTTGTTAGTATTTATGGTAATTCCTTGAAAACATAGTCCTTTTGATGTTAAACTGGCTATAACCCTAACCCTTCATTTGTTGCATAGTAGGAAATATCTGAGAACTGTCTTGCTCCTTAATAATTAAATTCTGTCCTTGAAGTTTCTGCCACAGCCCCAAACAGAACACTTTTCTGGAGTGCTGCCTTTGTTTGCTTGGCATCATCCAAATCTGCAGCCAGCCACTCCCCACAGGATTTTTCAGTGGGTGCTCTCTGTGCCTCATACTGCGTCAGCTGCATTTGTTTGAACAATCTCCATATGTGTTCAAACTGGCAGTGCTGACTTTGCCTACAGCACATTAGGAAGCACTCAAACTTTGCTTAGCTCACTGAGTTTTGCACTTAGAGAAGGGAAGTGTGCAGAGGTGAAAAAAATTCAGGGTTAATCTACACAAAATGTTAGTGGGAAGTGTGAAATACCAATGAAAGACCAGCATTCTCCCCTAAGTGCAGCATTATTAACCTCTGGGAAA